CTCTGGCTCTTTCTCCAAGTCAGACAAACAGCCAGATTTAAACAGGATAGGAAGAGCCAAAGAAAAGAGACACTCATTTTATATTCTCACCCTGGATATCAAATTACTGACCTTGCAACGTTTAATCCCATGAATTAAAACCAGAATCACTGTTTATCATTTTCGGAGAAAAATTCAAGTTTTTTTTTTTTTAACATCTGTGAATACATACTATCCATTTTGTGTCCTGAAGGAAACGTGCTCCTAAGCAACTGCTCATTCTTGTAAGGTGGAAATATTCCAAGGACATAACAGGATGAGCAAAGTTCATACTTATTCAGCGGGAGAGTGGATTTAAATTAATCCATTCAGAAACTAACTAACGAAGCTAATCACTTGCGCTGTCACGTGTGAAGACTCCATCCAGAGCCCATCAGCAGGCAGGGTCTGTTCCAGAGAGATTCCTGGGCTGTTTTAGGAGACCCCCCCCCCTCAAAACCCCCTTTGCCTGGTGCCGGTGATGGCCTCTCTTGCTTAGCCCTGTAGCAAGCCATGTCTCAGGAGCGGATTGGCCCTCCTCCAGGTTCACCATGTGCAAAGGAGGGAGGGAGAAAAGTTTGGAGAAGAAACTATAAATCGTGTCAGGATTCTTTGCATAAACTTTTTGAGATGCTTGTTTTATATGGTTGGGTCATCTAGTTCTGAAGTGTGGTCAAGACATCTGAGAATTTACTGGGGACGAAAGGGGGCAGGTGCCCTACTTTTGGTTATTGTGCCCTCCCACCCCAAAGTTTGATTCTTAAGTAGAAAGTGAGAGAAGGGAGAGGTGTTATGTACTGACAGAGGTGATAATGTTTCCTATGTGATAGGCTTGGTCCCCTGATGGCATTATACAGAGGTATGTGTTGCTGTACCAGGGATTGAGACCAGGGGCTAAGCCCTTTATTTATTTGTTTGTTTGTTTATTTATTTAGTGGTGCTGGGAATTGAACCCAGCGCCTTGTGCATTCGAGGCAAGCACTCTACCAACTGAGCTATATCCCAGCCCCCCAAACCCTTTATTTTTTATTTTGAGGCAGGGTCTCACTAAGTTGGAGAACCTGGTCTCAAACTTGTGATCCTCTTGCTTCAGCCTCCTGAGCTGCTGGGATTACAAACTGCTACCACTCCCAGCTCCTTTTACATTTTTTATGAAGTTAATATAAGATTCTGAGTGGCAGAGCCCTGGCCTAGCATTCAAGAGGCCCTGGGTTGGAGCCCAGCCCCACAAAACAAAAACAAAAACAAAACACGATTCCCATGCAGAAAAGCCAGTTTCTCACACTGTGCAGGGCCTGTCCCATCTCTTGAGGTCACCACTGCAACCAAAGTGAAGACTTTCAATCTGGTTTTCCATTACAATGTGAACACCTTTTGTGGGCTTTATTCCTGAATGTTTTTTTCCCCAAAATATCTTAAAATATATATTTAAGAAATATCTTAAAATACAAAATTTTAAAACTTTCAGATACTATGTGGTATTTTTCACTTACCAGGTCTTTAATTCACTTGTCAATAAACCCCTTCCATACCCCCACTTTTCAGAGGTATTCTGCTCGGTTCTGCCCAACCAAGAGGAGTTGGGGGTAGGGATCCTCTATAGGATCTGCATTTTATAAAATTTTACAAGAGAAATAAAAGCAAGACAGGATTGAGGGAGTTTCCATCACCATCACCATCATCATCATTTTAGTGGTGGTCCTGGGATGGAACCCAGGGTCTCACACATGCTGGGCAAGTGTTTATACCACTGGGCAGCACCCCCAGCCCCTGTCTGAATTATTTTTAACACCTGAGAATAATAATTATGGTAAATTATCAGGTGAAAACAAGTTAGGTATTAGAAAGTACTATGCCATTTAAAATAACCCACAAGCATTAATATGTTGGATTTTGGGGTGTTTTGTGCAGTTTTCAAATGTTCTGCAGTAATAAGGCTTTCTAATCATTAAAAAAAAAAAAGAAAGTGTCATTCTTGAGAATTATACATGACATACTAGAGTGTGTCCTTTAATCTTTCCTGAGTGACTTTAAGTTTTTTTTTGTATTAGAGATTAAACCCAGGGGAGATAGGGGAGATTTACCACCAAGCTAAATCCTCAGCCCTTTGTATTTTTTATTTTGAGAAAGGGTTTTGCTAAATTTTCCAGGCTGGCTTCGAACTTGTGATCCTCTTGCCTCAGCATGCCAAATTGTTGGGATTACAGGCAAGCACCACCAGGCCCAGCTGGAGGGTGGTATTTTTAGCCCTGTGCAGGTCATTCTGTATGGGGTCAATAATTATTCAATTAGAATACTGAGGATTGAGCTGGGCGCGGTGTGCCTGTGTTCTCAGTGGGTCAGGAGGCCGAGGAAGGAGGACCATGAGTTCAAAGCCAGCCTCAGTAATTTAGAGAGGCCTTAAACAACTCAGTGAGGCCCTGTCTGTAAGTAAAAAATAAAAAGGGCTGGGGGTGTGGCTCATCGGTTAGGTGCCCCTGAATTTAATCCCCAGTAACCCAAAACAAAAATGGAATACTGAGGATTAGATTAGATTTTCTTAAAGAGCCAGTCTTGACACCTACAATAAACCTGCAAATGGGCTACAGACACTATACCTTAACATGTTAAAGACTTCTGGTGGTATTTTCCTGGCTTAGTCAGTTAAATGATTCATGTGTACCTGTAATGATATTTTCAGTTGTATGCCTGTATGTGCTTTAAAAAGCATAAGGATATGTTTGGAAGAAAAAAAAAAAACATTTTAATTGCTTTCAAATGTCCAATAAATTAAAACCCATATACTCTTACTCAAGAATTTCCTTGCCAGATTATTACATAATTGGTTGCCAAATCTCTCTAGCTTTTTCCTATTTTCTCAATCTTAGGAAATGTAGAAGATATTAAGCGTCAGCTGGTCAGAACATGTAAATGCTTTCAAAAGATTTAAATGTTCAAATGTCACAGGAAAGATTTTAAAAAATCAGGCCTCTACTTTGAAAAGACAGCTAAAAATTTAAGAATCAGAAAATAGTAAAAACAAAACAAACAAACAAAAAAACATCTCGGTCCCTGAAAAAGAAAGAGCATATATTTTTTTTTCAATTATGTTTAAATAACCATTTGTTATCTTCAAATATAGTTCCTACTTATAACATCCCAATAAACGGCCGGTCTATGACTAAGGAAATACTCCAACTAATGATCCGCTGATAGGTGAAGAAATATCACCAAGGCCAGGAGGCCTCGCAGGCCGCTATCTAACAGTTCTGCAACAGCAGCAACCGTGGTACAAACAAGCAGTGCTTGAACCCAAACCGAGACAACCGTGCTAAGATTATTTCAGCCCACTGATCGAGTCCCTTCAGGTGAGCCCATCCACACTGGATTTTGTACAAACAGAACACAACAGAACATATTGACACTGTGGATGCCCTGGTGTCTCAGGCTACAGAAGACTTAAATTTATTATTATTATTATTATTTGCCTTGTGCATGCTAAGCAAGTGCTCTACCACTGAGCTACGCCCCCATCCTGGAAGGTTTGAATCATAACAAGTTAAAATGTTATTGTTTCCCTACGGGATTTATAGTATTTTGCCATATGCCTTCAACCTTTTATTTTTTCTCTTCTTTCTTCCCTCTCTTGCCCTCTTCTTTTCAAGATGGAGTTGTACTGGACAGTGTTGCCCAGACTCATTTCCAACTCCTGGGTTCAAGTGTTCCTCCTGCCTCAATGTGTGTGTGTATATAAATTTTTTATATATAAATAATATATTGTATATAATATTATAAACTAGTATATATCTAATATTATATATAATATATAATATACATATAAAAATATATGTATATTTTTTCTTTTGAACTCAGGGGCACTCAACCACTGAGCCACATCCCCAGCTCTTTTTTTACTTTTTATTTTGAGATAGGGTCTCACTGAGCTGTTTAGGGCTTCACTATGTTGCTGAGGCTAGCCTTGAACTTGTCATCCTCTTGCCTCAGCCTCCTGAATTGCTGGAATTACAGACGTGTGCCACCACACCCAGCTCAAATATGTTTCTTATTATACTTACCATGTATTATTAGAATTCATAACTCTGTGAGTTCAGAAAGAAGGGTTCTTATTCTCAAGAGACCCAGTCAGGGGTTGGTCTGTCCCACTAAATATCTGCACAAGTTCTCAAATGCCAGAAATGTCTTTAGAAGAAATAAAATTCCTAAATACACCCTCTATGCTCCCTCTTAGACCTCTAGGACAGTTTTGCCACTAAGGAAAACTTTTCTTTTTCTTGGAAATATAAGACTGTGAGTTTTGGGGCTGGGGGTGTAGCTCAGCTGTGGAGCGCCTGCTTAGCATGTGTGAGGCCCTGGATTCGATCCTCAGCATAAAAATATATAAATAAAATAAAGGTATTATTAAGAATGTGAGTTTTTAACATGCATTTCTTCTCCTTCTTGCTTATGGGCTTTTAAGTATCTATCTTCTTATTACAGTTAAGGTACTTAATTAAAAATCAAATATGAGTCTGGTGGTCAAAGAGAATTCTTTGAAAAGATATAGTTTAAGGCAGACAGGATTAAGGAGAAGAAATAGAACAGTGCACAGAAGTACAAATTTAGTGTCCTTCAATGTGTTTTTTCAAATAGTTTACAAAAAAGAATTGTCAAATCTGTCAATTGCCTGTTTAGGATTATTTTACATTTCTTTAAGACTTCTGAAGTTCAAAGTAAATAACTGTTACAATGGTTAGGTGCAATATTTACAAGGAGAAAATATTTCCTGAGAATTTAACATTTCTATTAAGTTGCCATGGCGCTGCCTGCCACAGCCTCTTCAAACCTCATCAAATCCATCATATTGGACATGTGTGGTCTGGTTTGGAAGCCTTCCTCAGGCTCGGTGTCCATAGGAGTTTTACCAGAGAACTTTAATATAAATTATAAACTTATTTCCAGTAACTGGTACTAAAACAAACAACAACAAACAAAACAACAACTTCTGGCCCTTTATTGTGAATCTTTATGAATAACTGAGAAAGCTGTGTTTTCAAGTTGGTGAAGTGTTCATGCATCCTGCCTGGGATCTCAAGATACACAGCGTGTCCCTGGGTCTGGAAGCAAATAGAATGTACAAAATCTGATCACCCTCATTTTCGCCTTGCAGACAGTATGAGTAGAATGGAGTATAATAAAATAGCATAGAATAAAACAAAACAAAGTGAAACAAGCTAAATTACACTGTCTTCAGACTTTATAAAAAGCCTCTATATGAACCTGTGGGGTGTGTGGAGCCCGCTGGGTGGAGGATGAAATGGGAACTCCATGCCGGAAGTGGAGCTCTTCTGATGCTGCTAATTAAGGAATGTGGAACCCGTCCTTCTGAGTCAGCGTGGCGGTATGTACAACTCTGCCCTGCTTGCTGCTTACATGGTTATTGCAAGAACTTTAGAAAGAAAACCAGAGTCTCTGAACCACCTCACATTTAAGGGGCAGGAGGTGGTGTGTGTGTGTGTATTTGAATGGTTCCTAATCTTTAAAATGGTTCTTGCAGCTGGGCTTTTTATCAGCTGATCGCATTTACAGCATAGCCTCAGATGGCAGGGTGCTAGTCCAAAAGAGGAATGGGTCATTTACTAGCTTGCATTTTAAGGTACACAGGCTTATCAGAGCATTCTTAGGATTCGCCAGAATTACACAGCAATAAAAACATCTCTGTGGCACTGCTGGCTCTTCCTCTTTTCATTTCTTTTAGTAAAATACATGTTAATGTGTTTGATTTCAAAGGTAGTACAGGCAGAGTAGAGAGAATAATTAGAGAAAATAGGAAGTATAGAAAAGGTCATGCATATGCCTCTATTGGGAAATAACCATTTAAAAATGTTTATAAAAACTTTAAAAGGTGTGTGAAAGGTAGAGAAACTAGTAAAATAGTTTCACAACGTCCAGTTCTATCATTTCAGGATGTTAACCACATTTGCTTCAATTCTTTTTTTTTTTCTTTGCTGAAGTATTATAAATTCGAATATATCACATCATTCTTCTCCTTTAAGGTTAAATATGCTTCTCTAAAAAGTATGTATATGTTATATATCACATATTCAGTATACCTCTCTAAAAAGTGTGTGTATATATGTATTTTATATATATATATAATTATACATAAAATTATATATATGTATATACACACACATAATTCTGTAATAATCCATATGGCCATTATTACAGCTAATGAAATTAACAGTAAGTTTCTTGTTATCCCATAATATTCAGCCAGTTCGTATTAGAATTTCCCTGATAAGAAAACCAATTTTAATATTTTCATGTGTACCTATATCCTACCTTTTCGCTTACCCACAAAGAGATTTGGGATTTATTAGAAATACCATTTTGCATCTTGGCCTTTCCATGTGCTATTATAACTATTTCCCAGTGGCACATTTTCCAAAACGTGAAAAATGAAGTTCTAGTTTCAACATGGCTGTGTGCAGCAGTGTGGGGATACCCCGTGATTGACATTCCTCCCTTGTCTCCATACTTCTATGGCGAGCGCTCCTTTCCCCCTCCTGTGCTAACCTCCTTGCGGTGCATCTCTGCTCACAGCGCCTTCTCCTGCGGGAGGGCTGCTTCCCCGGGCGATTCCACGAGTGTTATTGCCGCAGCCCCGCGCGGGAGCATTTGTAAGGCCCTTGACTCGTCTTACCGAGTTGTTTACAAAAGGACTGTACCAATTTACACTTCCACTTACAAAGGGCGAGAGAGCCCCTATTAAACTGCTCGGAGGCAGTGCTTTTCAGAGCTGCTATAAATCATGGGCTGCAAGAGGCTGACTTAGGTTTGTCACATGGTCACGATCACCTCGGAATAAATAAATACACATTTTCTATAGCTGTAAAAACATGGCATGCGCACACTGCCAAACCGGCACCAAGTCACTCGGATTCAACGAGGAAACCCGCTGAAAACGTGGTGCTGCGAGTTTCCACCCCGGGAAGCCCGCGCGGAGGGGGAGGGGCGCCCGCCCCGCGCATCCTGCAGGAGGTGCCGCGCACAGGTCCGCGCTCTCCCCTCCCTCCGCCGCTCTCGCCCCTGCCTTTCCTTTCCTTTTTTTTTTTTTTTTTTCAAAAAGCAGAATATTCTATTTGTCTCTATCTGGCTAAGTTGATGATGCAGAAGTTGGAAAACCGGTTGAAAACTCGAGGCAAACTTCTGGTGCAAGGGTTTCCTGTAAACGCAGCCCCACAGCCTGGTGGCAGAGGATTAAGGCAGAGCCATTTTAGCCAAATTCTACTTTGTTGCCTTGGGGACACGCTGTTTTTATTTGTCGACTTCGACTAAAACTGCTTATTTCTGTTTACAGCATGCTTTTTTTTCTCCAACCGTATTGATTTGGATAAATTAGTGTGACAGATTTTTTTTTTAATGGCGGGGGTGGGGGGGGGGGAACATGACTTGTGTGTTTATGGGAGGGAGAGGGGAACAGGAAGTGATAAGAAAATACTTAGCAGGATGGTTCTTGGTTCTTAAAAGCCCAGCGTCTTAATTTTTAATTGCCTTTTCTTTCTTCTGGAAGAAGTTCAGGAAAGATGGTCCTCTTATCCTCATTTGCCTTTCAGAGTTTCAACTCTGGCAGGGATGTCCAAGTTACTCCTCAAAACAAGTGGGAACAAAACATAATCTCTTAAAATATTTTTAAGAGGACAGGCCGGCTTGGTCTTTGTAAAAATATGTCAACAAAATGTGCTAACCACACGCCAAAAAAAAAAAAATCACCCAGTTGTCAAAGGAGACAGAGGAATTAGATAAAGGAAGGGCTGCTTAGGAACAGGCAGCGTGCAGAGGGAGTGGGGCTGGTGGCATCTGAGTCACCGCCATGTATGTGCCAGGCCGATGTTTGGAGGGGAGCAACACGTTGTCCCCATTGCACAGGTGTGGCCTAGTGCCCTGGCCAGGATTTGGGTCTTGCTTCTGGAAAGACTGAGTTTTGTCTATTTCCGGTTTCCCAGGAGCAAAAGCCCGCCATAAAGTGGTGAAGGAGCGTGGGCCTGGAAGAGTCGCAGGAGCCGGCCTCAGGTCCAGCCAGGTGGCCTCCTCATTGCGCCCGGTCGGGGTGCAGCTCCTACCTCAGCGTCCCCCGAGTCCCAGGGCCTGCTGTGGTGTGGCTGGAGGGCACACCTGGGTACGCCTGCGCGCCCCACGGCCTCCCTGCCCTGCCAAAGCCCTCACCTTCCGCTCCTCCTTCTTCAGGCCTCGCTCCACCTATCCTCTGGAGAAGATGCCAAGGGAGCACTGAAGGCCAGCCGTCCCCCACCTTCCGAGAGCAAGGTATATTCTCCAAAGAGTTCCATTTGCTTTGTGTGTACCGGGCATCAGGCTGATGGCTGAGCTATTCTGGTTCTGGAGTAGACCAGTCTGGCTCTAATCTGTCTGTCCCTTACCTGCCATAAACAAGCTCCCTACTCTTTGCCCACCCAAGACTAGGTTCCCTGGTAGGGCCCTGCCCTGGGAAAGAACACAGTGTGGGGGTCCCACCTGGTTTGGATTCCTGGTGATCTTCTGTGAACTTGAGCAATGGTCTTTATGATGGTGGCATGTCTTAACCTAAATCTAGAGCTTGCTGTGTGCGAGATTCCCCCCACACATGTAAGAGTGTCAGTGAATGCTCTTACTCCATCTGTAAAATGAGGGGAACAGAGGGCAGGAAGTCAGAGTGAGGTGGCAGAGCTGGTCAAGCTGGACCGTGAAGCCTTTTTTGTCTGTTTTTTTTTTTTTTTTTTGGCTTGGTATTGAGAATTGAACCCAGGAGTGCTGTACCACTGATGCCCACCCCCAGTCCTTTTATTTTTTAAATTTTATTTTGAGACAGGGTATTGCTCAGTTAGTGATCCTCCTGCCTCAGCCTGTGTTGATCCTCCTGCCTCACCCATACCCTGTGTTGAAGCTTTGGTTAGAATACAGAGAGCTAGTTTCAAAAGCATAGACCTTTGGCTATTGCAGGTGCTTCCTTTCACAGTGGGGAGACCCTGATTCTGAGCCTGCCTGAGAACCCCCAAGTACCTATCCTGTGCTTGGCCTGGAAGAGCTCTCACCAGGTTGCCATTACTGTTCTCTGTTCTCCTGAGGCCAAGGTAGTGTTTAGGACTAAAAATAATGGTCTGAGTCCCAGGGGTTGCATGGGGTTTGGAATTGGATCTGGGCGAGAAGAACACTTCATTTTAGTTGCAGAGCCTTAAATCAGGGAAGTTAGCTATTAAGTAAGTGTGCTCACCGGCTGGGCTTTGCACATCTGTATATGACTTTATTTATTTATTTTCAATTTATTTATTTTTTTCCTTCTTTTTTTTTTATTGGTTGTTCAAAACATTACAAAGCTGTTGACATATCATATTTCATACATTTGATTCAAGTGGGTTTTGAACTCCCAATTTTACCCCAAATACAGATTACAGAATCACGTCGGTGTATATGACTTTAAATATACAGGTTATCCCGATAACTACCGAACACCAGGGTATAAACCAGATATGGAGCTGAGGCTGGCCCAGCATGAGCTGAACAAATTGTTTTGATTTCCTTCCCCTGTTTTTACTGTTACCATTATTATTATTGTTGCAGAAGTAACCTGAAAATTGGATCCCCTTAACTATCACAGTGATTTCAGCCAAGGAGCCTCTGCTCCTATTTTAGGAGTGCTCTTGGCTATATCAGTGGTTCAATAAGTCACTCAGTCACAGAATCAGGTTGTCATTCTGCTCATATCAGGGCCACAAAGCCCCATGCCATCCACACCATGCCCCCAGGCCAATGTCTAGCTCCTCTGTGTGGCAGGCACAGTGCCACCCCAGTCTCCGTGCTCCTAACTGTGGGGCATGCTTTGTTTCAAGGACTTTGCAGGCCAGTCACTGAGCCTGGAATGTTCTTCCCCCGGAAATCCTTATGGCTCCCACTGCCACCACTTCAGGGCTTTACCCGGATGTCTCATGAAGCCTTTCAGGACCTGCCTATTTAATATCCACCCCCCTTCCCATCCTCTTGTCCCCCTTATTTTTTGCATTAGTACTGGTCATCTGACATGATAGTATTAAATGCCAACTTCACGAGGAGAGGCATTTTGTTCTGTGTCGTTTCCTGTTGTGTCCCCAATTCCTAGAACAATGCCTGGCACACAGTAGGTGCTTAATGTAGCTCAGTGGTAGAGGACATGCCTAGTATGTGTGAGGCCCTGGGTTCCATCACAGCAGCACACACACAAATTTTATAAAAATACATACATATATGTAAAGGCATGTTTGTATATATATTACACACAGATATTTTTATACATGTATATAAAAACTGTGTGTGTGTGTGTTGGGGGGGGGAGGTATTGGGGATTGAACCAGGGCCTTGTGCATGAAACGCAAGAAGGCAAGCATTCTACCGACTGAGCTCTATTCCCAGCCCTA